GGAGGAGGAGGAGGAGGAAGGGAGGAAATGAGATTCAGGCATCGCTAGCATCATGCAGGAGCTTTTGGTGTGAACTGGCCCTGGTGGCACCCTGGGTCCTTCTCAGTTCAGTCAGTAGAAGGGGAATCACAGAGCCCCAGAACAGGTGATCTGAGGACAGTTTCACCAGTTTATTTCTTGGTGCTTCCAAGAGCTTATATAAAAATCAGCACAGTGAGCAACAAGCACCGGCGGGAGAAGGAAGAACCACCCAGTTGGTTTCCGGGTCTCGGTTTGGCCTTAGCGGACAGACCGCCATGGTGGGGGCCAGGAGAAGGCGGAGGGGAGCCAGGCCCCCAGGGGCGGCCCGAGGCGGGTTCACTTCAGATCCAGATGTCAGAGGTGCAGTCACCCCCCGGGTAGCGCATCTCATGGGCCAGGGCGGGGCCGAGGGGCTCCTTCCCAAAGTCCACCAGGAAGTTGGGGTTCAGCTTCAGCCCACCCCTCTCTGTGTCAACATCGACCTGCAGCATCACGGAGCCTTCCCTGGTGGGAAGGGGGACGGGGCAGGGGAGAGGTCAGAGGCCGCCACACTTCTTCCCAGGGCTGGGTTCCCGAGGAAGGAGCCAGGGGCGGGGCTGGGTGCGGTGGGGGCGCCTCCAGGAGTCCAGATGGCCACACAGCCCCGGGAGGAGAAGGTGGGAGAGCTGAGCCCGAGTCTGCTTCTTACCTGATGAGGTCAGGGTAAAACTGCTTGTCCCAGCCGCTGTACAGTGACGTGGTGACATAGAGCCGCTTCCCATCCAGGCTAAGCTGGATCATCTGAGGGCCTCCGGCCACCTGTTTTCCCTGAGAGAAAGTGGGGATTAGATCCTAGAAGATCCTACACACAGATCCTAGGAGGGGATTGCAGGTACCGCCCAAATGCCGAAAGCATGCTCCTGTGCCGTGCCCCCCACCTCCTTGAGCCTGCATCTGAGGGGGTCTGGGAGGACAGGAAGGGGGCCGCACCTTGACCACCAGGGCATCCGGCTGACACTGCAGCTCCTGGTCCTCCAGCACTTGCACCGGACCTCCCTTAACAATGCTGCCGCCCAGGAAGACCTGGGTGGGGAGACGCAGAGGACCACAGACAGTGGTGAGAGATGCGGCCGCTTGCAGGGAGAGCAGCTTACCTCCGGTGCCCACACTCCTGGGTACAGGTCGAGCCTGCACGGTCCTGCACCGTCTGTGCTTTTCCTGCTCCTCCCAGCTCCTCTACGCCCTCCACCCCTTCCCCACAGCCTCTCCTTCCTCTCTCCCTCCTCCTCTTGCCAGGACACCCACCTGCCCCGCGAGGTGGGGCCTCTGAGGGTCAGAGATATCGTACTGCCTCACGTCCCCGTGCAGCCAGTTGCTGAAGTAGAGGAAGCGGTCGTCCAGGGACAGCAGGATGTCAGTGATCAAGCCTGGGGTGTGGGTTCAGAGGCTTTTTTTGTGGGGGGCAGCGGGGGGCGTTGAACTTGGGCCCTTGGGCTTTCGAGGCAGCACCACCGAGCTAAATCCCCAGCCCCTGGGTTCAGAGGCTTTAAGGACTCGGTTCCCAGCCAGGAATCAACCTCCCAATTTTCATCCTCGTCACACTCACCTGGCATTTCGGGGAGCATCCAGCCCGACACTTTCTTGGGGGGCACCTGGATCACCTTCTCCGCCGACCAGGTAACTTCCTACATGGGGGAGTGGAGGGTGAGCTTATGGGTTGGGGCTGAGCGGGACAGAGCACTGGGGACTGAACTCAGGGCCTTCACTCTGAGCTGCGTCCCCAGGCCTTCCTTTTTTGAGACAGGCTCTTATTAAGTTGCTAAGGTGCCCAGGCTGGGTTCAAACTTGGGGTCCTCCTCCCTCTGCCACCCAGAGTGCTGGGGTTACAAGCGTGTGTCACATGGCACCTCCTGCCACTGAGGTCTACGTCCCTGCCTGCCTCTTCAGACAGTGCTGGCGTCGGCCTCATGGCTGCATTCCCAGCACCTACTACAGTGCCCAACACAGAAGTTCACTGCATAGTTGTTTGTTTTTTGTTTTTTTTGTTTTGTTTTGTTTTGTTTTGTTTTTTTTTTGATCAGGGTCTCACTATGTAGTTGAGACTGACCTGAAACTCACTATAAAGGCCAGGCTGGTCTCGAACTCCCAGCGATCCTCCTGTCTCAGCCTCCTGAGTGCTGGGATTACAAGCGTGCACCACCACGCCTGGCTTCTTTTCGTTTTGTACTAGATCACACTTGGGGCTGCTCTACCCCTGAGATACATCTCCACCCCCCCCATTCACTCATTCAGTCACGCACTTATTGACAGGGTCTTGCTAAGTTGCCCAGGCCGGACTTGGACTTGTGATCTTCCTGCCTCATCCACCCTAAGTGCTGGGATAACACATAGGTGCCACCGCAGCCCTCTAAATAATTTTTGAATACAAGGATAAATATGGCCAGTTAGGGTCCAAGAGTGCTATGGTGTGAATGTCCCCACCAAAACTATGTTGAAATTTAGTCCCGGTGTGAGGTACTAAGAGGTGGGACCTCATGAGGGGATTGGCCCACGAGTGGGTTGATGGGCAGATGTAAAAGCCAGTTCGGCTCCGTCTGTTCCACATGTCCCTCCCACTGCGGAGCGCTGACAAGCAGGAAAGTGCCCCCACATGCCACTCTTTGCCCCTGGACCTCTTGGCCGTCAGACCCACGAGCTAAATTACCCTGTCTGTGCTGGGCAGTTTTAGCAAAAGAAAACAGACCCCAACAAGGTGGAAATTAGCCGAGCACGAAGAAGAGAGGCAGGGTATGTGAGCATCATCCTGGCAGCCAGGGCAGAGGTGTGGACAAGACAGCTGGGGGTGGGGTGAGGCCGGAGGGTGCAGGTCACCTTGTTCTGGTAGAAACGCTGGATGTTGGAGCTGAGGGCACAGCCCACAAAGCCCTCGTTGGCGTCGGGGTTGTGCAGGAAGCGGACCTCCAGGGGGATGAGGCCGTCCTTCATGGACAGGGTCTGTATGAGCTCATGGCGCTGCCAGTCCCATACGTGCAACTTGCTCCCGTACAGCCCTGCGGGGAGGGTGGAGGACAGCTCGGATGGATGCGGGCGGGGGTGCTGGGCCAGGGCAGAAGGGAAGCTGAGCGGGCCGGAGCACTCGGCAAGTCCTGTCCCGTCACCCAGAGAGTCTGGGGACCACTGAGGGGACGAACTGGGGCTGCAGACTGCAGAGGGGTTTGGAGCAGAAAGCACACAGTGGGTCTCACCTTCCTTCACGTGAGCAGGGTTGAAGCCATCTTTGAAGACATTGGGAGCTGCCCATTCAGAGCTGATCATGACATTGTGTCGAGGCTGGTACCAGAAGTCATAGCCCATGGGCGCAGTGCTCCCGGGCCGCTCCCACGTCCCCTTCACCTGGAAAGTCTCCCCATCCAGCAGCACAAAGCCGCCTGTGGGCCGGAAAGGCAGGAGGGTGTCAGGAAGAGACACTACCACTACTGGGACCAGGGCTCACTGCGGGCAGGGCTCAAGGGCTCTAACTCCATCGCCTTTTCCCCAGGAGCTGCCGGCTCCTTAAGTGAAAGGGTCCAAAGGCGCCTCCTAGGGATGGCGGGAGAGCGGGGCCTCCTACTCCTTTCTCTCAGCCTCAGGGAAAACTCTTTCTGCACCCAGGGATCTTTGGGGATTCACAGTAACCCCGGCCTCTCTCGCTCAGTCCCTACGGAGTGGGGTTCCTTGTAGAGTCTAAGCTCCATTCAGCTCACCACAATTTTCTAAACAACACAGACAAATTGTATTTATTTGTCCTTCAACCCGAATGCTATTCCGGTTTGCCCGCTGGGATGTGAGCAGCTTTCCTTGGCCAAGCCCTTCCACCGTGTTCTCCCTGCCTTGGGGCCAGCTGACTCTGGATTGAATCCTATAAAAACCACGAGCCAAAATAAACCAGTCCTCCTCTAAATTGTAGGTGTCGGGCACTGGTCCTAGTGAGGAGAAAGTGACTAAGAGAAATGCTGCTCTGAAACTGAAACAGCTGAAGTTGCTTGCTGACACTTTAAGCATCGGCTGCATCCTGCTGGTCCTGCTTTTCACTGCTCGCAGACTTGGATCTGCTCCCCCACGGACACACGCTTCCCATACTCCCAAGCTGCAGTTCTTCGAGGACCCGGTGCCAACAGATACCTTTGGCGTTGCCCTTGGCGTCTCCCAGAGAGCTGATCATCACCTCTCCACTGGCCAGGCAGTGGCTGGTGTGGAGATTGCCCAGGTCGCACTTGGCGTGGACTTCCTGGGGCTCAATGACCTGAAGAGAGGTGCAGAATGGGGTCAGAACTTTACCACGCTGGGGTCCGTCCTGCCCCTTGACCCGCTACTGTGTATGCTGCCTCCGTCCTCTCTGCCTTCCTCACATGATCACAACTCTCTCTGCAGGAATACGGCAGAGACTCTGTCTGGCAGCTTCAACAGGGAGCAAGAGAAAGCAGAAGACAGTGCCAATCACCGCCCACCCCGGGGCAGCAAGCACCCCTCTGCCACCCCACCTCTGTCCGAAGGCACCAGCTCCTCCAGGGCTGGGCCCATGCCAGTGTCAACTTCATATCGCCAGCAGGCAGCAGGAGTGTCTGGCACCAGAGGGTACGAACCACGTGTAGCAAGGAAGGATTGCAGGGTCCTTCTTAAGGGAAGTCCTGAGTGCACAGCTGGAAGGGGGACTGGTTCCCTCCGACTCTCAGAGGAAAACAGGAAGCCTCTTCCCTCGTGCCCTGGGTTAAGGCTCTGCATGGTGAAAGCTCAGCATGCCTGGTAGCCCTCTGTCTTTGTGTGTGTGGGGGGGGCATTGGGGATGGAACCTAGGGCCTTTGCATTGAGTTACATTCCCAGCCCTTTAAAAATTATTATTACCATTTAAAAAAATTTTTTTTGTACCGGGTATCGAACTTAGGTCCTTGTGCTTGCAAGGCAGGCAGTGGAACCACTGAGCTAAATCCCTGGCCCACCATTTTAAATTTTAAAACAGGGAGTCACTAAGTTCGCCGGCTGGGCTCAAACTTGTGATCCTCCTGCTTCAGCCTCCCAGAGTGCTGGGATTAGATGTGTGAACCACTACACCCGGCTCGTAACCCTTTTAGGGAGTCTAACTTCTCTCCCTGCGGCTGAGTTACATCCTGCGCAGATGGCGGCAGCAGTTTAGGGGTGGCTTCCTGCCTGTAGGCTGCTGGGGTACCAGGTGCATCACGGTCTCCCTGCTGGCAAGGGGAGGACCTGCCTTGTGCAGCTTTGGGGCCCGTGGCTGAGAGCCCACGTCGACCACGTAGATGCGAGAGGAGATAAGACAGGGTAGCATCAGCTTGGTGCGCGACTTGGTGCTGTCCCCAAAGCAGCTGCTGCAGGTGTTCCACCCCGAGTGGTGCAGCTCGTCCTTCAGGTAGGGCATGGGCAGCCGGTGGATGACCTGGGCCGACAGGGAGAAGCGGTGGTGCTCGCCCAGGCCCTGCCTCTGTGCACCCCTACTGCGGTTGGCTATGCCCGCACAGGGTGGACTTCAGCCTTACCCAGGAAGGCAAAAGAGGGAACAGAAGCACGGAAGCCAGCGCCCAAGGAGTCTCAGGGTGGGCCGGTGCCCACGCCCTGCCTCACCTGGCAATACTGGGGAGACTTGGGATCAACGTCCACAGTGGCCAGATAATCTGGGGCCTCCGTGCCCGTGTTTCGGTAGATGCAGGGCACATAGATAATCTCCTCCCGGGGTCCTGTTGGATGAAAAGCAGGGAGTGGGGGTGGTGGGGTGTCTGGGGGCTGAGGTCCCCACCCCCTCTGGCCGCGGAGTCCTCCAGGGCACCAGTTCTCGGACATGGGGCAGTTACCTTTCATGGCCTCCTGAGGGCTGGGGTAGCCAGGGCCACACTTACACTTCGTAGCTGTGGAAATAAGAGGGTGTGTTGGCTGGAGCTCACTCTGCGGGGCGGAGGCTCCCCGCTCCAGCCTGTGACACACACCTGGCCAGCTTGGACTGTCCAGGCCCGCCCAGCCCCCCCGGTGGCCTGTCCTCCAGGTCCCTCAGAGCACCATGAGCGTGGGGGTGCAGTGGGAAGACCTGAGGGGAAAGAGCAGCAGGGCCTGGGGCAGGGTTTGGGGGAGCGAGGCACAGGCTGCCTAGTGCGTAGTGGTGACACGGACTCAGGTCCTAGCCTCAGCCCCACAGACTGACTATAGGAATCTGGGTTGTGTAACCTTCAGGCCTCCATTTCCACTTGTCTGTAAAAGGGGGACAGTAAGACCTCCAGCAGGGCTTTTATAGACCTAAAGGGGTGCGGTCACCACGCAGCCTTTGCTGCCTGGTTGGAGCCCAGGAGCCTGGCTGTTCTGGAGGAGCGGCAGCCATGGAGCGGGGATGTCTGCACTCCTCTTCCCAAGGGGATTAGGGTACTTCCTGCTTTCCTCTCCTGGCCCTCCTCCAGGGTGCTGACCGTCTGGATTACACAACCAGTCCAGAGGAGGCAGAGGAGGTGGGAGCTCAGGCTGCTACCAGCTGGAGGGCCTCAGGCCAGTCCGTCCCCCAGCTGTAGGAAGTGGTCCTGCTGGACCCTGAAGTCTTGTGAGAGAGGACCACGGTAACCTTGGTGAAGGACAGTGGCCAAGACCCCAGCACCAGTTTGGGGCTGGCCAGGAGGAAGAGTTGAAGAATAACCCAGAGGAGAGACTGCAGGCTGGAAGAAATCCTGGAATGGAATTCACAAGACTGAGTAACACCTCCTCCGTGTTTGTGAGTGTGTGTGTGTGTGTGTGTGTGTGTGTGTGTGTGTGTGTGTAG